TCATAATAATTACCTTTGCATTCTCCATAAAAAAATTTTTACTCAACAAAAAGTTGATAAATTTTTAATTGTTGCTTCATTCTTATTACCATCATTCAAAATGATTTTTTTTTTTATAAATTTTGATGCCAGTCAATTTTTTCATTTGAAAAAAGTAAAGAATAGTATAAGAGGTCATAACGACCAAAATAATATCTAATTTTATGATGTGTTCTTGAATGAGTATGAACTATGAAATCTCTTTTAAATAAAATGTTTAAATTATTTCCTTCAACTCATATAGCAACAATTTAATCAATAAATAAACGATGATACATTCGTTGATCTAGATTAATATTTTTCCAGTATGAATTTCAAAATTCTCAAAAAGATATATATCATTTAATTTCTACAAGACTTGAACTTAAAGATTTTTTTTCTAGAATTATTAATAGTATCTCCATAATTTTTGCACTTAAATTTTTATTGTGTTGTGTTCTCATTTTATTTTGAAAGTTATTATTAGTGTCATAAAAGTATAGTTAAAATAACATAAATTAATCAACTCAAATTTAAAATAATTCAAAACTCAAATTAAGTATAATAAATTTTTTACTCATTTTAAATTTTAATTTAATTAAAAATAATAAAATACATATAATTATAAAAATAAACTAACTTAACTCGATTTCAATTGTTTTTAAAAGTTAGCAATTTAGTCGTTATTTAAAATCCAAAATAATTAAACATAATTAAAATTCAAATTGAAATAATAATATAACCAAAATCCAATATCTCTTATTCTTCTTTTATAACTATTTAAAAGTTTCTTATTTTAGTTTTTTTCTCTTCATCTTCAATTTTTTTTTATTGTATTTATAGTTGAATTTGTTAATTAATTTTAAGAGTATTTTTAAAGTGAAATTACAATTATAAGTAATTAAGTATACTTTTTTATTTAGATTTAGAATGATTTAAATCCAACTTTTTAAACAAAGAGAAGCATACATTAATTATTGAATCAAATTTATTCTGTTACATGAATGAATAATTCAGTATACTATGAATAAAAGTTCATAATAAAACTTGACTCAATCTAATTGATCACTGATCCAAAGTCTAAAATCCAACTCGAAATTATAAAAAGTCAAAATTCAAAATGATTGAAATACTTAATACACAACTAAATAAAGATTTATCAAATAAATTTTCCTAATAAATACCTTTAAATCACTTTTAAGTTTAATTAAATTATAATTTATAATAATATTTTATATAAATGTAATAATGATAATTAATTTGATAAGTTTTAATTGTTTTGAACAAATATTACCTAATATGATAACCTTAACACTATGTTTGGTTTAAGAGGAGGGGAAGGAAAGGAAAGGAAAATCAAGAAAAGTAAAGAAAATGAAAGATGTGAAAACTTAATATCTTTTGATTTCCCTTGTAATCCTCACTTTTTTAATACCCCAATTTGGAGGAAAAGTTAAAGGAAGGAAAGTTAAAAAATTTTTATTTTTATAAAAAGACTATTATATCCATATTTTTATTATGAGATTATATTTGATTATATAACTAACACTTCCTACAAAAATAATTTTTTTATGAGTATTTTATATAACATTACAATTATAAATATTTTATGATTTTTCAAGTTTTAACAACAAAACAAGTCAAATTATTGTTAGAGTAAATTAAAGATTGAATTAAACACAAAATTAAGAGTAAATCAATAACTAGTTAATACATTTTACTATATTAAACATGCTTAATTTTGTTTAGAAAATTTTGTTTATACAAGCTAGGTTGTATAAAGATATATTTGTATATTATATGTTGCTTTATAAAAAAAATGTTATAATTGGAAAAAATATTATAATAAATTATTTCCTTTCTTTTTCACTATTTATTCAAATAATGATTGTTAGAATTCATTTCCTTTCTTTTTCTTTATTAATTTTAACTATTCAAATAAAGAGTACATGTACCTTTTCTTTTCCTTCAAAAAACTTGCATTTCTGTTCTTTTCCTTTCTTTTCCTTTCCTTTATTTATATGTATCCAAACATTCTGTAAAAATTTTGATACAATAGTGAATATTCAACTAACATAAAGGAGAAAATAAAAAAGCATACAATATTTTTTTCTAATAAAAGAGTTTCATATTAATCCCTAAAAATTTTGAAATCAATATATTTGTGTGTATATATATATATATATATATATATATATTATTGACACATTATATAACACTAACCTTCTTTGTCATAATTTCATAAGGAGAAGATGGAGTTATACATAACCAATCAATCTTGCATTTCATTTTTCTACGTAAGATAATCTTCCCTTGGTACTTCCATCAATTGAATGTAATTGTACATTATATCGATTAAAAACTTAATTTTTCTTTTATTTAAAATTTTTATTATATAAAAATATTAAAATATATTTTTTTAAAAAAATAAAATAAATTTCTAACCTTAATGTTTTTATGTTTTCTTAAGAAATTTCAAATTTTAAGAATAACAAACTTATTAAATAATAGCTATATAATTTGTAATGATTTCATTTGCAGTATTAACAATATAAATTTTCATGAATAAATGTATTTTTGATATAAACACGTTCAAAAGATAGTTACAATGAATTTTGTCACACATTAAAAGAATTCACCAGAAATAATTAATTTTATTTTACTTGATAATTTTTTTCTTAGAATAATTTATATTAGGTCGTTCAACCACCTAAATGACCTAAAAAAAGCAAGCAATTTAATATAATTAAGAAAAATAAAATAATCATGAGATATAAATTAATCATATATATACATATTAAGATAAAAGTTAAAAGAAAATTAAATCAATTATTATTTCAATCAAGATGAATAACTCTTATGGCAATTTGATGCAACCCAATCCTGAGTTAGTGAAAGTTTGACCACCTCCTCAATCATCTAATTTTACGAGTTAAAAGTCCAATTAAAGTGTTTAATGAATCAAATAGAGCTAATTATTGGTGGAGGAGATGCAATTAATTTGCATTTGGTTTGATATTAATTTTTATTTATGAAAATAACAATTATAAAATTCTAAAAGAAAAAATAAAAAAGAGAAATTAATTATAAAAATCAAACTAAATTGTATGAATAATATATTAAAAAATTATTTTAAGAGACTAAAAAGATTTAATTAAGTTATCAATAATCAAATGATCAACCTATAAAACATATAAATAATGAAATAATTAACATACATATGTGGGTAATATATTAAAATAATATATTCAATTAAAAAAAGTAAATGATCAAATTACTTAATTATGATTATCTTTAATTAATTTATTTATCAACATAAATTACATATACAATTGTTTTTACAACTAAAGAAACAAATTTCATATAATTGTTTTATTCCTATGCACATCAAGCTTTGATATTGTTTTGTTTGTATTTTTATTTGATGTAAAAAATCATTCTACTTATAAAAAAAAAAAAAAAAAGAGTTCCATAATAAAAATAAAGTCATTTAAATTAAGATTTACAAAAAAATTACTAATGACATTTTAATCAATCACTTTTAATATTTTTGGAATTAAAATTTTATTAAGGGTATTTTAGTAAATTAATTTTAGTACTTTTTTAGTCTAATTATAAAAAAAAAGTTTACTAATAAAAATTTTCATTTAAATTAAAATTTATAATGAATTTACTATGCATATTTTAGTCAAACATTTTTAACACTTTTAAAATTAAAATTTTAAAATTTTAAATAGTTTAATTTCACATAAATTCTATTTTTAATTTCAATTAATTTAAATTAAACTTAAATAAATTAATAAAAGTTATATATTTAAGAATAAATTTGTTAATTTAAAAATTTATAAGAGTATTTAGGTCAATTATTATTAACATTTTTAAAGTTTACACTTTTTTATATAGATAGATAGATAAATATAAATAAATGATACATAGTCTCAAACAACTTTTCATCTTATCAAGATCAAATCAACATTTCTTCTTCTTGTACTCTATTTTTTGGTTCATGATTCAAGAGGGATCAAAGAAAAATTGAAGTGCAATTAGTTCGTTGTTGAGTATTGTATAGGATAACATTTCTAATAACCATTTACATCTAGTGGGAGAATTATTGTTTTTAAGAAAGCTTCTTGCAAGTGCCTCATTCAAAGTTTTTCCTTCAAATTCATCTTTTTCAACGAAGTTACATATTTGTTAATTGATGCATACACAACAATTTGACGAGTTTACAAAGTTTACATAAGTTGCCAACCCCAAGTACAACAGCCACTGCTCCTGCTCCTACTCCCACTGCAAAACCAAGTCTCGGCCCTCATCCAGGTGCAGCGGCAGATGATGACATAATCAAATAAGTCTCTGTTAGATGATCTGTTCTTGGGAGGAAAGTGGGAATGTAACCAACATTATAAGGTGGCCGGAGGTGGACGATAGGTGGGTCCAGAAGTTGATGGATAGCTAGGTTCACCTAGAGATGGGTTTGCAATAGTTTGTAGGATGTGGCACCGAATATGTACATGGAATGTTTTACTTTGAAATAGATTATCTGGCCGTGAAAAAGGGAGGGGGCGTTAGAGGCAGCTGTTTTGATTCTATTGGATAGATGCGTCCTTCAGTAAATAATGCAATATTAGTCCTATGGTCCATGAGACCAAGTCCTTTCTCATTACCTGCAAAAACCAGATCTTTGAATTCAATAATCACATTGACAAAAATCATCACAAACAAGAAAACTTTCATCCAAACTCTAAAAAGGTTCCAGTTGTAGAGAAAAGATCAATTGGGGCAAGAAAATGGATTAGTGGTAAGTTGGGCAGGAGACGTGAAGTGAACATGGAAGATAGAAGTCCAATTCCAAAGCCTAGGCCCAATCGCAGTATTACAATACTCCGAAACCAAAAAAAAAAAAAAAGTTACCAAAGAAAGAGGAACTGTAAATTGTAAATGTTAATAAATATAAGAAAACAGTACAGTAACTTTCGAAACAGGTCGACTGACAGAGATCAGATGGATATATATATTCATCATACTAATAATATATTAATATGATAGCAACAAATTCGAAAATTGAAAAGCAGATCGGAAGCCATTCTCACTAGCATCTGAGACAGAATTGTGTTGTAGAGGACTAGACTAGGAAAACTTATTCCGTCGATTTCTTACTTTAAAGAAAAGAAAAAAGGAGAAAAGCCAGAGAGTTTTTTTTTTTTTTGGAAGATAATCTTTGGGTCAGCACGGTAGTAATAAGCAAGCCCTAGAATTCGAGGAGGAGGCCGTTAATTTGATGGGCAGCAGCAGCGGCTATTGGGTATTTGGAGAGGTAGGGTTTTAAGTAGAGTTTAGGTAGATACAAAGGAGAAACAAAAAGATATGGATGGTGGGCGTAGAATAGCGGCGAGCCCAAGGCCTTGCAGTGGACGGAGAATAGTCGCATCCAAGAAAAGAGGGAGAGCAGATGGCTTCGTTAACAGCGTCAAGAAGCTTCAACGAAGAGAAATCTGCTCCAAGCGACATCGTGCTTTCTCCATCACCGATGCCCAGGAGCGCTTCCGCAACATCCGCTTGCAGGTTCTTTCTTTTACTTATTTAACCTAACCTTACTCCTTTAATTATTTTATTATTTCACAATTTTTCTTCCATATATTTTGCTATTTTTCTTTTCCTCTTGTTTTGGGTGTTCAAATTGCACGAGAATTCTGCTTTCTAATATACAGTTTCAGTTGATGTATCTACTCCGTCATGCTTCCAAGTCCAAACCTTGTTTTCCTTTTTTTTTTTTTTCCCAGATATCAATCTAAGGAAATTTGAACATTTTAACCCTAGTTGCAAATTTGTGGGAGGGAACAAAGAAAGATCTAGCGTTGCATCATTAGTGCTCAAATTAGTTTGACACATATTATCTGTTTAATAGTTTCTGTTCTAATCATATTCACAGGCTTTGATCTATAATATACAACTAGAGTATATTGCCTACCCTTTCAATGTTACCTTATGAGATATCGCTGCAAACCTGATCTACTTTCATTTTTTTTTTAAATTTGATATTTTTAGATTTATGGCTGTTTAAGTCTTTAATATGATCTATAAAAAAAAGGGGTCTTTAATATGATTAATAGTAAAAGACAAAAGCTTGAAACGGTGGAGTATTTGTGTCAAAAGATTCCTGATGTTGATTTCAAAATTTCCATGAATGATGAAGCTTATTTGAGAATTTTGAGTAAGAAATGTAGGGTCAAATACGTAGGTTGAAATCAAAACGTAGATGCTTTATTTGCATTTGCTGGCATTCAGACAAACATGTTACATTCCTGCTATTTGAACCAGTTCACCTTTGGCTGAATAGTTATATGTGTATTATTCTACATTAAGTAGCAGGATAGAAAAGGGCATTTCTTTCCTTTTGTTTAGTTGGAAGTCTATCAAGCAAAAGATTAATTTCAAAGGTCAATGGGTTATCTTTTATTTGTGTAGCCACGGGGACAAATCTGTTTGCATTGCTGTTCTTATTGAGCTTTTTTATTAAATTCCTGTTGGTGATATGTTGCAAAACTATATAGGAGGAATATGATACTCATGATCCAAAAGGGCATTGTTCGATGGTATTACCATTTCTGAGGAAGAGGTCAAAGATTATAGAGATTGTAGCTGCACGAGACATTGTCTTTGCTCTTGCCCAGTCTGGTGTATGTGCGGCATTTAGCCGAGGTAGGAGCTGTGTTTCACACTTCTAAACTTATTTTGCATGGGCTTGCCTATTTCTATTTGCATCAATAATTAGAATGGGAATTTTGATATTTTATTGTTTTGGATGCAGAGACTAATCAAAGAATATGCTTTCTAAACATCACTGCTGATGAGGTTATCAGAAGCTTGTTTTATAATAAAAACAATGACTCACTTATCACAGTCTCAGTTTACGCTTCAGACAATTTCAGCTCTTTGAAATGCAGAAGCACAAGGATTGAGTATGTCAATCTTTTTTAACCTCTTTACAACACTTATCTTATCCCAATTTGAGCCGAAAGGAGAAAAAGGGAAAAAATCTAAGAAAAACGTGAAATACTGCATCTGGGCATTGTAATTTGTAATTTTTAATTTGTAATTTGTAATTTGCATTTGTTTTCTTTCTGAAACAATTCTGTTTGACGGACAGATACATACGGAGAGGTCAACCTGATGCTGGTTTTGCCCTTTTTGAATCTGAGTCACTGAAGTGGCCTGGTTTTGTAGAATTTGATGATGTAAATGGGAAGGTACTCACATATTCTGCACAGGATAGGTAAGTAATCATCCATATGAATGTGCTTTTGTGCTAAAATATAATAATTGGATCCTCAGCTAGATTCATGAGTTTTGACATACTGTTTTTGTCTTTTAATTAGCATATACAAGGTGTTTGACCTAAAAAATTATACGATGTTATACTCAATATCGGATAAAAATGTTCAAGAGATTAAGATCAGGTAATGCTCCTTTCATGATGGTTATATCTTCTTGCTACAAAAATAAAGATTAACTCATTGATAGAAAAAAAAAAACTTTCTGATTTTCTTTATTCTTCTGTTGTAAGTATTGTTTAGTCCAAACAAGCTTTCGCCTTTCTCCTGGAAGCAAAAAGAAAGTACTGAGAGTAAAAATCAAATGATGCCCATAACTTGTTTGCTTTTGATTTTGTCACGTAAATTAATTGACTTTGTTTCCATCATTTTTTTTTTGACAGTCCAGGGATCATGTTATTGATTTTCACTAAAGTTGGTGGCCATGTTCCTCTTAAGATTCTCTCAATAGAGGATGGTACTGTTCTGAAATCTTTTAGCCATCTTCTTCACCGGAATAAGAAGGTGGATTTCATTGAACAGTTCAATGAAAAGCTTCTTGTGAAGCAGGAAAATGAAAACCTCCAAATTCTTGATGTAAGTATCATCGTCAATTTATTGCAATCTTATGCATTTATTAAAGCTAAAAAAATCAAAACTGTCATTGTGCAGGTCCGCAATTCTGAGCTAACAGAAGTTAGCAAAAATGAGTTTATGACCCCGTCAGCATTCATATTTCTGTATGAGAACCAGTTATTCCTTACATTTAGAAATCGCACAGTGGCTGTCTGGAACTTCCGTGGAGAACTTGTAACTTCATTTGAGGATCACCTTTTGTGGCATCCTGATTGCAACACTAATAATATATACATCACAAGTGATCAGGATCTTATTATCTCTTACTGCAAGGCTGATTCTGATGATCCATTGTCTGAAGGAAATGGTTTGTTTTTTCTTTCTTTAAAAACTTTTTCCATCTTACATTTTCTTAGGAATCGCCTAGCTGCTCTTCCTCCTATAGATAACTGTATCTCTCCTTTAAATAGTATTTTGGCTATAGCCTTTCTGTCCATTTGAAATTTTGATCTGAGTTCAGATTTAGCTTGTTATTTTGATAAACTGTTTCCATAAAGGTTATAGAAATAAAAAGTAGAAACCACCAGTTGCAAAAGAATACTATCCAGTAAACATTAAATTTAATACATCATTGAAGGGTTTTTCGTATCATCAATTTTGCATTACATTGTAAAGGGCTCTATAATATTGCTTGGGTATCTTAATGATTTCTTTTTTTAAAAAATGATTTAAAAAGGCTTGTTGAGTTGTTCTATGTTTATTGTTTGTTGGCTTTTTGGCAAATTATGTGTTTTTATGGGTTTTTTGGGCTTGGCTAGCTTTTTCAATTGGATTGTGGAAAATTTTCATCGTTTCCTTGGTCGTTTTGAAGGGAAATGTACATGTTCAAATTTACTGTATAACAACTAAAGTGAGGAGAGAAAGGGAAATGGGGAGTTGGGGGAGGGGGAGGGGGGGGGGAATAGGGAGGATGTGATGGTATGCTTTTGTAGAGACATGGAAAGTGTGGAAAAGATCTCATCTGGATTTGTTTCACCAATATATGTGCCTCTAATGAATTTTTTACGTCCCTGGTGTGGCAGGATCCATTAATATCAGCAATATATTGACTGGGAAATGTCTTGCTAAAATAAGAGCAAGCAACAGTTTCACTGTGGAAAAACAATGCAGCTGCAGTGTCAAGTGTGGTTGCAGATCAAAGAAGCAGAGCACTGCATCCAGGATTAGAAGCACGGTTGCAGAAGCACTGGAAGACATCACTGCTCTTTTTTATGATGAAGAGCGCAATGAGATTTATACAGGTAATAGGCATGGTCTAGTTCATGTGTGGTCTAACTGATGGTTTGATTTTCATTAGAATTTATGTAATTTTAGTTGCTGGAGGTTGAGTTGGTGTGAATGGGCATTATGAGACTCATGACATGAAACTGTACCATTATTAAGTGTTAATTGTATCAATTCATTTAGTTTATGTTTTAAATGTAGTCATTTTCTTGCTTTGATTTTTGGTGCTGTGTGGGAGTGTGTAAATTGTTGGTTTATGTATGAATTATGATTTTATGATGTTGATGGAGATGCATTTTATTTGGGGTAATATGCTAAATCACTAAAGGGAGGGATGGAGTGAAGCATTTGCTGGCCTCTATGCCCCGTCTTCGACTATGAATGGATGAATGTAATGAAGGCATGTCTTTTGAATCCCTTAAACTTGAATGATGAGCAAAGCAAAGCAAGCGTGGAATAGAAGAAGAGCAGCAGAAAGGGAGAAGGGGGTCTGTAACATTTTGGTATGCATTGCTATTGCTTGTTTGTTTGTTTGTGTTAGATGAGATGAGGAGGACATAGATATTGCTTAGTATTAGTAGGAGGAGGAAAGATGAAGAATCAGATATTCCGTGGCGTGTGGGGGTTGAGAGTTATAATGTGTTGGATGGAAATGGAAGTTGCAAGTTGCAAGGGACACAGGGAAAGAGAACGTGCGAATGTGCTTTACGAATGGCCAATCAAGCCAAGACAACAATGTTGTTCAAGGTGGATTTATAATTCGTGGGTTTACAACCAGTAAAACATTAAAATTTTATATATTTATCGTTTTTTATATAAAAATTATATATTATAACTTATTTTGATATAAAAATATAAATTAAATTATTTTTTATTTTTTTATCGTACTATATTATAAACTATAAAAAATAATAATAAAAGATCATTAATTAATTATTATGATCACGTGGGTTCTTCGCGTGCTTTGCACTTTTCTTTTTTTCATCAGCTCCTATCTATTTTTATTTACTATTTACTATTTATATTTTATATCGCTAGACGTTCAAATTGTTTGGTTGTTGCATATAAAAAATTTCAAAATTTTGAGCACTTTTTTCAGATTTAAATTGTATTTGAAATGTGAAAAAGCAAAGAAAAATGAGGTAGATGGGAAAAAAAAAACAAAAATGAAATAAAGAAAAAGGATGTAGAAGCAAATTGATTTAAAAAAAAAAAAATAGATTTGAGTTGGAAGTAATGGAGCGTGAGATGACGCGAGTGGCTTTGGCGACAACAGCTTGGTAATGATGAAGTAATTATTATTACTAGGGTAGATGAAGAAACGCGCCTACTGCCTTTGCCTGTAATCTCCACTCTACCACACACGGGACACTGCCAACTGGACTGCTCTTCTTCCTTTTATTTCACCTTCACGCTATCTTTTACTCTGCCCGTTTTTGTTTGCAAGTAATTCAATTTTTATCTACTACATCTATTACAATTAGCATTATTGGATCCCAATTTACAAGTAATAATAATCGTAACTAACATTATTATTAGTATTTCTTCACCATAAAAACACAATAAAATATAAACTAAAGTTAGATTCAGTTGACTTAAAATTTTTATTAATATTTAAAAATTATAAACTCAAATAATTTATATCTATGCCTAACATTCTTTTATTATAAAATTAGATCAGGGTTAGATTAGAAAATTAAAAATAAAAATAAAAAACTTATTTCCAGTTAGTATTTCATCCGAAGTACATTTTCTTTCTCGATTCACTCTCTTTCTTTCCGTCATAATTAGAATTACAATTGCAATTACTACTATAACAAGGTGAAAGTGAAAGGGGTCAAGGTCAAGGTGTCGGTGCTCGCCATCCCCTCCCTCCCTCTTTGTCTTGTCTTGTGTGTTTTAAAGTGTAGTGCGCATTCTTTTGTTTTTCGCTTTTCTTCAGATCCGTCTTGTATAATCCACCTGCACCTGCACCTGCTACTGAAACTTCATTTAAGCTAAGCAGCATTTCAGTTCGTACTTACTTTTTTTTTTTTTTGTTGGGTAAGAAGAAGAAATAAGACAAGACAAAACCACCAGATATGGACGGAGATGCGCCTTTAGATAACGCCACCATTCAGATTTTGCCTTCCCAAAACAGGTTCTTCTTTCTCTCTTTTTCTTCAATCTGCATCTGCCTGTCAATTTGTCATGGAATATAGAGGAATTCATTCGATGTCATGTTCAATCAATTTCTCTATTTTTAGGTTCGAGCATTTACATGTCGTTGACAACCAAGTAGAACAACTCATGTTGGGTTCTACAAAATCTTTGGCCTCATTTACCCGGTTTAAACAACTTGTACACCAAAGGATCCAATGCTAACTACAAACTCCAACCACCCCACAATCTAAACACTGCCGCCTGGTTTACTAAATCTACTTCACCAGGTTCTTATCGTTTTATTTACATTTTTCATTCTGCTCGTTTGTTGTTGGAAATTCCCACTTTCCATTCACCCCTTGTACTTTCTCAGATTCCTATATATTGTTGGCTCAACGGATTTGTTGGATACCGCTAAAGTTATTGAAGATGAGATGTCTCAGTTGGAGGAAGCCAGAAAGTTTCATCTTTCTCTATATGCTCAGGTAAATATCATGTCTTCTAAGTGTCTGGATATTTAAGTATGCATGAGCTCTCCTCACTAACAAGAGTTTCATCTTCTCAGGGTCATCAAGATCATATTCAAAGTAGCGAAAAAGGTAAATCTCATGTTCAAGGAATTTAAAGTCGGACACTGTTCACTACCTTGATATATTCTCTGTTTAGTATTGTTTTGATTAAGGTTTCTTCTTTTTCAACTGATTGAGGACATAAGTGGTGTCTCTTTTCTGTGTTGCACTGCGGCCTTGGTATCTAAAAGCCTCGAGAGTTTTAATTGTTCTCTTTCCTTGTTGAACAGATATATGCAACTCAATAGACATGGTCCCAACATCCAAAGTAAATGCCATTCTTTACAACTTTTTTTGTCAATTTTTCCTCTAGGTCCGTTAGAAGTTGATCTTATGATTCTACATAATACTTCACCATACTTTTATTATGGCCACTAATATATGCATTTGACCTCGGCAGTTCGAAGTCCAGAATTCATCATCAGAAACTTCAAAGTATGTTCACTCCATTAATATTAATATTAATATAATATATATTTAGTTTGTTAGTCTGTTTTAGTTCTCATGCAAATCCAACCAACCTTTGGAAAGTGTATTGCTAGGAATGAGCTCTTACGTGCTATGGAATCAAGACTTACAGCGTTAAGAAGTGAGTTAGTTGCAGCTTTTAACCAGGTGGTTGGAGAAACCTGCTCCTACAAAGAAATCTCTCATCTGGCAAATTTTTCTGAAAACTTTGGGGCAAATGATGTAAAGTAAGTTGCCTTCCAAAAGAAAAGTGCATGGATCTTTTAAATCATAATTTGCCCAAAGAATTTGTAACTGCAATCTTCTTTTACCTCCCAAAATTTTTACAACACTTGATGAAATGAATTATAAGCAACAAATAATCTTGTTAATATCTACTGCAGGAATTTTTTGTGCATGTTTCTAGAGCTGAGCCAAAAGCACCAAATTGCAGATCCCCCAGATGATAAAATGTCTTCATTCTGCTCGTGCTTCAGTTAATGGGCAGCAAAACAAGACTGATGAAGTAAACAAATACAAAGCTAGATAATTCAGAAGCCCGGTTAATAGGTGTTTCACCAGAAAAGTTGCCCAGGGATTGAGCGTCAGACAGAAGTGAGGAATCTTCTGACTCATGTAGAACAGAATCAAATGTCTGCAAAAGAAGTCGAGCTCTTACAAGATCTGCAACGCCTAGACGGTCAGATCTTCCTATGCGAAGGGTTCAATTAGGAGGAGTGGCTCACGTAGAGCCCCTGCTCTGACCTAAAGAGCCATTAGTTACGTTCCTGCCTAGAGAAAAAGATATTGTTCTCAAAGAGATGTAGCTTCAGATGATAGTGAAGAGGAAGGATCTGAACACATTAAGAAACCTGAGAATAATGTTCGGCGTATGAGTGTTCAAGATGCAATAAATCTTTTTGAAAGTAAACAAAGGGATCAGATTACTGATGTTCCAAAAAAGAACTCATTAACAAATATCTCTCTTGGTCCTAGTAAGTCTGTATTGAGAAGATGGAGTACAGGTATGGGTGAATCCTCCTCCAAATGCCAATCACAGAATGCTTCTGAATATCCTGTTGCAGAGCCTCCTGATAATGTCATTGATAGTGATATCATACGGAGGTCAGCAGAAGTTAATTTGGAATCAGCTACTAGGACCGGAGCAGAAAACATCAATGAGACTGCTGATCTGAAGTTAGAAAGGCTGGAAGAGAGCTCATGTAGTCCAATAGATGTTCAAGAGGTAACAGATATAATCCATGAAGAGGAAGCTAACAAGAAGCCAAAAGGCTCAGCTGAATGGAGTCGACAGAAGGAAGTGGAGTTGAACCAAATGTTCAAAAAAGTGATGGAAAATCAGCCTGATAGCTGTTGGAAGCCTCAAACGAAAGTCAGACAAAATCTGCCTCCAGAGGCAGAGAGGTGGATTTTATGACTATTACAAGGAGAAGAGGGATGAAAAACTTAGAGGAGAGAATACTGGAAAGCGTGCTGAAAAAGAAGCAAAATTTAGAGCAATGCAGAAAATTCTTGAAGAGAGGAAAGCAGAAATGGCTTCCACAACCGTGAATAATTTTTGTAAAAAGGATCCTCCGGCAAAAACCCAAAAATCTGTTAAGAATTCCCAAAAGTTACTAAAGAATCCTTCTCAGCCTGCGAATAAAAGGAAGGAAACCACAAAACCTTCAACTGCAAAGAAGGTTTCATCTAGAACATCCCCCTTGCCTGCTACTCGTAAGTCATGGCCTTCAACACCATCTCCGAGAACAACAGGAACATCACCAGCTAAAACTTCCGGTGGAATCTCTTCTGCTGGCACTACACCAACACGGCGGAATCCTCAGTCAGCACAATCAGTACCTCGACCAAGTTCTAAAGTGGAAAGTTCCCAGCCACAACGAAGAAATGTGAAGGCAACCCAGACTGATAAACGAGGTTTAGTGGGTGTGAATGAGAAGCAGCAAAAAACTTTGATGAAAAGCAGCAAAACAACAAAGACAACAGTTGCAGCAGCTCCTGGGGACTCTTCCAGTATGTTTCTAGCGAAGCCTAGTTTGTATAACAAGGTGACGAAGAAAAGTAGTGTAGTTCCTCTGGAATCAAAGCCATATCTACGTAAAGGTTCAGGATTTACCTCTAGTGCTGGTCTTGTTAACAAGCCCAAAAATCCTTCTCAGTTAGAGGACTCTTTGAAAAACACTGAAATTTCTAATGATCCTCAAGAGAGTGATGTGATTGTTAATGCTTCTGTCTTGGTGAATGAGCATCAGGATCAGGATGTTTCATCACAGGATCATTGTGATGATGCTATTCAGTCAGAAACACAACTAAATGGCCATCAGAAATGTGATGTGATTGGGAGCGATGATGAACTTGCTCCTGACTTTGATGATGGCTTAAAAAATATTCCCGGTTCTTTCCAACGTGACGAAGAATCAGCCATCTCACCAACTGCTTGGGTGGAAATAGAAGAGCATCAGGACCTGCCTAACCAATGTGATGAGAAAACAGGTGAAATTAAATCTTCAACCAGCATTGCACCTGTTGGATCGGCAAGTCCACGTGTCCGTCACTCTCTGTCACAGATGCTGCAAGAAGAAAGTAGTGAGGGCGATACTACTGAATGGGGAAATGCTGAAAATCCGCCTGCAATGGTCAATCAGAAAGATGCACCCAAGGGATTGAAGAGACTGTTGAAGTTTGCTCGGAAGAGTAAGGGGGATGCAAATATAACTGGTTGGTCTAGCCCATCAGTCTTTTCTGAAGGAGAGGATGATGCAGAAGAATCAAAAGTTATTAATAAGAGAAATTCTGATAATCTACTGCGAAAGGCTGCCCTTCATGCAAAGAAATATGAGCAACAAAAGACATTGTTGACTGATGGCTATGAAAATCATTTGGATTTTCATGAGCTTCCATCTGGTATATTTTCTCTCCGCCATAATCATTACATGCTTATTTTCTGTCAAACTGTTTTCAGTGTTTCTCGTATAGATAGAATCTAGATGGTTATGGGTCTAAAGCATAGAAGTAATTGCTTTTATGCTTGTGGCACATTATTCTGTAGCTTATCTGTTGTCTCTTCTTTGCTCAACTTTCTGGGAAATACCAAAATAATTATAAATATTACCATTCCCAGACTCTTTACGAGTCTCATTATCAGAGTACTGTGCATTTTGTGTATGCAGCTCAATCAGGCATTAGCACGTTTGATGCCCACAAATTGCACAAGGGCAGTGTCTCAGCTGCTGCCTCCACTACTAAAGGTCAATTTCCACCTTCCTTACTCTGTTGAAGTTTCCGTAGTTCCTTTCCCTTATTTTCTGGAATAATTGTTCATTTTCTTTTCAATTTGGGACTGTATGTTTTGTAGTTTGAATTCCAATCTTCTTTTGCCAACTTTTTTTTTCAGGAACAAGGTCATTCTTCTCCCTTTCAGCATTTAGGGGTAGTAAACCAAGTGAGACAAAGCTTCGCTAAGACTAGGATGATTTATAAAATTCGAGGTTATTGACGTTTGCTCTCTCCCAGTCCTAGGCGAACTAAACTTTGTTGGAGCCAAAATTTCCTCCGCCTTTCTCTTACCATTTTTTGGGTGTTTCTTTTGCATGTCAGCAGTCGTGGATCTTCTCTAGGCTTGTCTTTTGTGTAGTTGGAGTGTTCAATTATACAGTACGTTGCAGTATTAGGATTTCCATCCTGCTAAACATATTGTTATATGTGAACCACTATGTTGAGGATATAAAACAATGATGAATTAATTGATTTTCCTTTTATGAGCACACATTGTAACAAAATTCAAAAATTTCAAGCCTTACACTGTGGAGTCCATAGACAGCTAGCTCTCAGCTAGATTCTTATTTCACTACATGGAAGCTTTGGAGCACTAGGGATGTTAAGTGGGAACTGGCAATTGTATAGTAGCGATGGTAAAACAACTTATATCTTGAGAGTTTCAATTTATTTTATCCTATAAAGAGCATTTCTTTTAAATTCAAGATTAAGTCAAAGGCAAGTTTTAGATATTTTATTTCATCTCATTTCGAGATATATTTAGGATGTATATTTTATTATTTATTTAATTTTATATTTATATATATATGTATATATATATATATAAATAAAATTATTATTTTTACTTTAATTTAAGATGTTAATTTAATAAAAATATTATATTTATAAATAACTAAAATATTATTAATATTAATAATAATATTTTATGAATATTACATTAAATTAAAATTATTAAAATAATTTTAAGTCAGATGCTAATTAGATATAGATTATACATATATAAGTTAGGTAAAAATCAGGTATAAAATAAAATAATTCAAATCAAAATCGGATTGGAATAAAAATGACAAAAACTCGTTTTGACCCGTTGTCACCCTTATATGTAGCTTTGGATTCCCATTTATTGACACTTTCAGTTTCCTATGTTTGATAAAAGACTAAGCAGTTTGGTGGTTCACTTAATTTTTCAGCAATGAATATTGTTGTCCGGTTCAGCAGCTACTGAATTCTTAGACAACTGGCAGAAATGGAGGATTTCCAGCTCAACACATCCCTTATTCCCTTTTAAGACCATGTGTTCGCATTTGAATTGCTTTGGTATTCATAAAAGAAAGGGGCAAGCGCGTGTTTCAAACTTCAAAATATGAAGCTAAACAACTAATTATAGTTCAACGATTTGTCGATCTAAATTCAGAGGTTTCTCTGTTATTGCTTTTAACAACAATGTTAATGATAGCGTAACAATTAGGTTTTACAAAACTACGGACGGTTTCATTGGTTGGACAGATGCTGAAGCTGCTTTAGACTAAGGGTCAATCAAAACCATTCCACTAGAGATGGCACCCAGGCTTTGCATCGCTATTCTCCGGTAAAAGACCTAGTTACTGTTCTCAGGTAAAATAACTGGAGTTGTTATCAAAGAAAACGTTCATCGAATAAATTCATAAATATGCTTGAATTTTATTCATTTATATTCTTTTATTAAACTTAATAAATAATTACGAACACATTTCAATGTTCATTAATTAAACAAATAAATCATGAATATAACAAAATTTGTTCATGTATGAGCATTTACACCCAGAGTATAAAAAAACAAAACATCCAACAAAAAATTTATAAGCAGACTCAATTTCTATTTCTTTATGTTCAATTACTAAATTTAACAAACAATTATAAACACTATTTCATGATTCTTTAATTAGATGAACAAATCACAAACATACTAAAATTCATTTATATTCAATTCGTTAATACCCTTGAAAAAATTGCAATCAAGCATTATGATAAGCAACATCGCAGGACTAATATGGATCCTCCTCAAGGCTAAGGATAACTATATAAGAAAATTTAGATACTGTGTTGCTAAAATAGATCTCGGGAGATGTGATGTGGGCAATAAGGAAAGCACAAATCCCCAGTCCCTTGTTATTTCCAACATGCTAACATACAATGCAAGGAAGTTTCCTGCTTAACTTTTGGAGCTGCAGTTTATCTCTGGTTGCTGATAAAGCTGCTGCAAAACAAGAATAGACTTGATATGCATAACGAACACCCACCACCTTCTTTTTCCTCCTTCACCTTCATTTCCTTGTCTTGATAACATTATAACCATCTTTACCTTTTCAGCTAGCTTAAAAGCACAAAGGTCTGACCCTTTGTCTCTATTGAGCTGTTACATGAAATTGTGATTATGAGAATTATCACAAAGAGCTCTGAAATATGATCTTAACTGGGCTTGTATCTGTTGCCAAAGATATGGAAATTCACAAGATTTTGAATTCAACAAGCATTAATAGAAAAGAAGCAGTTGAAGATATAGCAGTTAAAGCCAAGAAGCAACACATCCACCCCTTGCAGCCAAATAAACCATAATTAGATTTGTTAATACAACCGGCGATGACTATTATTACTCAATGACAAACAAGTGCAGTTCTAATACTGTTTTTGGCATAGATATCTCAACAGAGAAGTTAATTATGACAATATTCATCAAACTTTTCATATATTTGAGAGATACCGACTACAAGAATAGCTAAACCATCATAAAAGATAAATGCAAAAAAGAGATCAATTCCAGAGTGAAAATGAAACCTTTCACCCCTGCATCAATATCTAAGCTGATCTCAATTACTGCTCCCCTGAAAAATAAGAGGATCCAAATGGCTGTTGCCCTGTCATTTGAGAAGGTCCAGAATATTGCTGTCCTCCCATCTGAGGGAAGCCTGATGGTGGTTGTCCTGCCATCCGATGAGAACCTGATGACTGCCATCCAGCCATCTCAGCAGGTCCTGAGGGTGGCCGTGGTGGCTGTGGTGGTTGTCCAAAAGCTCGAGGTTGAGGCCTAGGGAATCTCCACCTATTTTCATTTAAAACTCTATCAATCTCTTCATTCCGCCCAACATTCCCAAAAGCCCCACGCACAAACTCCTGCAATGCAGGAGTAACACCAATAGAATACTTCATCATCTGGTCCAGTATATCTAGGCTTTTGTCCAGCTCATCAGCATCACAAAGTCCTCTGACTACAACATCATAAAGAGCGGCATCTGGCTTAGGATCTTTCTCCCCCATTTTAGTCAAAAGTGATGCGGCTTCCATGTTCTTCCCATTCTTGAGAAATTCACTGAAAACCCTAGTTCCAAAACTGGCAACCACCCTCAAACCAGTCTCAACCATCTTTGTGAATGACTGTAAAGCATCATCAACCCGCTCTGCTTTCAAGTATGCATCAATCATGGTTCTATACATTGGAACATCTGGTGTCAACGACTTTCCACACAATTCTTGAAAAAATCTTTCCGCCTCAGATAGCATACCATGCTCACAAAACCTGGTGACGATATTATTATAACCAGCAACATCCATCGCAAAAGGCTTGGATCCAGGCTTCGTGCCTACCTTCTTAAAAGTTTTAATGGCCTCCTCAAAATTCCCCAACTTGAAACACTCATTCACCATGATATTAAAAGTATCAGAATTCACAGCCTGCGTGTTAGGAGGGGTATGATTATCCAGCATATCTTCGAACAAGGCCCAGGCTTCCTTCGTCTTCCCATGTTTAAGCAAAACCTCCAAAAGTGTATTACAAGTGGGAGCAGGCATCTTAAATTTCCTATCCAACAACGACTTATACGAGTCCATGGCTTCCTTATCCTTTCCCTGATTAAACCACCATTCCATAAACGTAGCATTGACAACTCCATCGTAAACCAAGCAACGCTCTTTCAACTCATCAAACAGCTCATTGGCCTTGTTCAAATTCCCCAAATTCAAAAACCCGGATATAAGGTTGTTGAAAACTAAAGAGTCAGCACCGTGCCCTTTATTCAACATTTCCCTGAGCATATCCACGGCTTCCCCAATCCTCCCAGCATCGATCAAGCCTTTGGTCAAGTGCCTATAAGTCACAGGAGAGGGGTTAAACGGCGCCATCTCCAAAATCTCGCGGTAAACTTGAATAGCAGTATCAACTTCACCCCTATCGCAATGCGTATTAATCAAATTGTTGTAAGAAACAACATTTGGAACGAGATCAGATTGCTTGAAGAAGAAGTGAAAGAGAGCAATTGCCTCGTTGAAGCGTTTGTTGCGGTACATGGCGGCAATGATGGCGTTACAAGTGAAGACAGTGGGGCGAGTGGAGAAGAACACGGAGGAACGAGCCAGGAGAGAGGCGGCGTCTAGGTCGGAGGCGCGGATAAGGGACTGAACACGGTTGTGCAGGTTAAGCCGATGCCCAACGAGGGCAGAGGTGCTGTCTGGAAGCCGCGGGGCATTAGGGTCACGAGTGGGAGAGGCAGATGGGGCAGAGGCACGGAGGGCGTGTATTGGGGGCTCTATTCGCAAACGCCGCTTTCGGCGGCGTCGCTCTGCCGCGGCTTCTTCTGCAGAAGTGAAGCCGTAGGAGCGTGGGAGTGGGGGTGGGGACGGGGAAGGAGTCTGAGGATTTTGGATTGGATTTTCGAAGGCAGGGTTAAGCGCAACATTGTGAAGTAAGCGAGAGAGGAGAAGAGTAGGGGTGGCTTTGGGACGCTGGTGGCGGTAGTGGAGGGAGCGAAAGAGGGAGAGGCGGAAGAGGGGCATGGCTCAAGCGAGTAAGAGATCCCTAAATGCTTAAAACCCTAGATTACAGCAGCTTAAACCTTTGACTTTGGAGACTCTCTCTCGGGGAATATATGAAACTAGCTGATAGTCGCGAACGTTCTTGCTGCTCAAAATTTTTTTTAATTTTGTTATTTTTATTCATTAATTTTTTTAATTTATTTAAATTAAAATTAAATAATTAAATAAAGATGACACATTGATGTCTAATTAGGTCCCTTATTCTCACAAAATATGTAATAAAAAATAAAAATTTAAAACAAAAAATTATAAAAAAACGTAAACAATCTCATTGAATTTAAAATATTAATATTTTAATTTAAAATATCAAATAATAATTTTATTAAAATAATAAATATATATACCTTATATATTAGTTTTAGGCACGTACATAATGCATGTGAAATTATTATCTTTTAAAACTTTATTCAATAATAATTTTTTAATAATATGATAATAATAATTATAAATACTACTATAGGTAAATTTTGATAAACCTTTTATTATATTTTTAAAAATAATAAAATATTAATAATTTAATTTGTTTTTTTATTATAAAAGTAAAATTTTATAAACTTTTAATATAATTTTTGATTTTGATAGCGTTTAATAAAATTTTTGGTAACCTATGATACAATTTGATAACATTCGACTTAATTTGATAACTTATAATATAATTTTGGTAATTATTAATATAATTTTGATAATTGTTATAAAATTTTTAGTAACCTCTTAATGTAATTGTAGTAATTTTTAGTAATTTTATGATATATTTTAGTAATTATTGATAAAATTTTGTATCATCATATATTTAACAATGGATTCATCGCAAAAGAACGATATTTCAATTCTAATATAAAAGTAATTTTTTATATAATAATATTATTATTTCATTCAAATTTAGAATTTATTCACTGAATTTTTTTATTAAATATTTTCATATTAGATTATCATAGATTCTTAAGATAAAATTCGTAGCTTTGTTTTTGTTATTAACCAAGTTTTAATTTCTTACAACTTTAAGTAAAACAAATTTATTAATAATTAATAATTAAGTTATCATTAATTTAATATTATTTTATCATTGATTTACTATTAAGTCATCAATAATATACTATTAAATTAGTATTGAAGTACTACTAATTTATAAATAATTTACTATTAAGTTATGAATTATTTACCAATAAATTATTAATGATTTACTATTAAATTATTGATAATTTATTATAAAGTTACAACTGATTTTTTATTAATTTGTTAATAATTTACTATAAAATTATCAACAATTAACTAATTTATTATAAAATTATCACTGATTTATAAGTAAATTAGCATTGATTTGCAATTAAGTTATCACTAGTTTAGTACTATATTATTATGCATTTACTACTAAGTTATTATTAGTTTACTATTTCGTTTTTGATTATTTACTACAAAATCAACACAGATTTATTACTAAATTAATATCGTCAGTCAACTTGCTGATTTGATATAAATATCTAATAAAATATTGACATGTGTAAAACTTTCCGCTAATGCTACATCATAAATTGCTTGTTAGCATTAAAAGAAATTTTCAAAAAAAATTTAAAAATTAAAAAAATTTTGGATTTAAAAAAAAAGAATTTTTTTAAAAAAAAATTTAAAAATTATGAAAATGCAAAAAATGAAACTTTTAATAAAAATAAAATTTTCTTAAAGTTCTAAAAAAATTCAAAATTCTTTTTAAAAAATCTAAATCTAATTTGTTTTGAAAAAAAAAAGAGAAAATTAAAAAATCTAAAACATTTTGAAAGAATCCGAATTTTTTAAAATTCTTAAAATTACAATATTTCAAAAAATCTAAAACATTTTAAAATTTATAAAAAAAAATTAAAAAGTTTTTGAACAATTAAAAGAATCAGAAAATTTTGAAAGTTTTAATAAAAAATCTAAAAATTCAAATAAAAATTTAAAAATTTAAAAAATAAAAACAAAGCATTTTAATTTTTTTTTCAATTTTTCATAAACTTGTAATTTTTGTAAATTTTTAAAGATTTTTGAGATTTTTTGAATTTTTATTAGTTTTTCTAAATTTTTAAAAAGTATTCTTAAAATTTCTTAAAATTTATATTTTTAATGTAATTTAAATTTTTTTAAAATTTTCAGTATTTTTAATTTTTGTGAATTTTTTTGTTTTTATTATTATATTCATTTTTAATATTTGTGTTAAAATTTTCAAAACTTTTTTTTTTTATATTCTTGGATTTTGTATTAAATTTTTAAGGTTTTAGTTTTTTTAATTTTTAAGATTTTTTTTAATTTGTAGCATTTTTCTTATTATTTTCAAAATTTTTAATTTTTCATTACTCTTTTTTTTTTATAATTTACTAAAAATGTTTTAGATTTTTAAAGATTTTATTTTAAAAAAATTTAGAATATTTTTAAAATTTTCAAAAATTTTAAGTTTTTTTTTTTTACTTTTTTACTTTTTGAATTTTAAGAATTTATTTTAAATTCCCGTTTTTTTATTTTTTTAAAAAAATTTTGAGATTTTTTTAATTTTAAAATTGTTTTATAATTTTTAAAATATTTTGGTTTTCATAAGTTTTTGAAATATTTAAAATTTTTTTTTAATTTTAAAAAAAATTAGAAATTTTTTCAAAATTTTCTTTTAATTACTAATGTGGCATTAATTGAATGTTAATGTTACATCAATAAATTGAGTAATGACGTTATTTTGAAATAACAAACTACATGACAAAACAAAGGTTAAAATATTAAATTAATAATTTTATTTTTTTAAGTATTAAATTGACAAAAAATGTATAATACAATAACCAAATATATATTTATCCCATCTCAAAGACTCAATTAGATTGTTAAAAACCCAATATCCATCTAGTCCAAAAATCTATATCTTCAATCCAGTCCACAATTCAAAAACAAAAAAAAAGTTGAGAATTAATTTCATAATTAATTAATTAAATAAGAAGTTAATTTCATGTACAAAATGGTGTAATTTGTTAATTTTAATTAACTTTAAATTAGGTGTAGGGTTAGTTAGGTCATTTTAGTTTGTTTATTGAGAATTAGTTGGAACATTTTAGTTTGTTTATTGAGGGCATATTGTGATCATTTTCATTTAATTTTTATACTATTTTTTAATGTTAATTATTAACATAGCATCTTATTATTTCAGTCTAGAAGGAAGCTTTAAATTTCACGAAGCACGAGTCTCTAACTAATATGAATATAAATTTTAATAATAAAAAGGAAATTTTATTTTTTTATTAATATTTTTTTTAACAATTGTATGGACAAAAAGGATAGTTAAATTACTGTCATATACATGGCGACAATAACACTATCATATAAATTAAACATATCTATGAATGAACATTATATACTATTTTATAACAAAATTGTATACCATATTACATGATATAATTTAAATACCCTAGTTTATAAGTGGCTAAGGACTTCAAATTTTATATTTTGGTTTAATTGAGATACTCCTTCCGTCTCTTTTTTTTTTTTTTTTTGTTCTATCTTTTTTTAATATCTCAAAATTATATATACATATATATTTTACATTTAAAACTCTTATTTTTTATATTTTAAAATTATTTTTTATGATTTTTTTTATTTTTTGATATTAAAAATTATAGAACTTTAATTTTATATAAAAAAATAAAATTTAATATTAAATACATTAAAGTCACAAAATTTTTCTTAAATTTTATGAAAATCATAGTACCCAAATAATATGGGGACGAAAGGAGTATTAGTTAAACATCAAAGTATGGCAATTTTATATCAAATTTATATTTTGGTACAAGTAATTAAAACATTAATACTTTATGAGTAATCCAAATGTTAGTAAGTTTATTATAATGCATCAATCTTAATTTGTCTTAGGGTAAAATTAGTATTATTAAGTTTTGTATATTAATTTGATTGATTTTTTGAATTAAAAATGGGATAAATTAGTGAATTATCTCTAAGCTATAGTAAAATATTTAATATGATATTTAATGTTTAAAAGTCTTTAACATAATATATAAATTATAAATATGTTAATTAATATGATACTTTAAAAAAATTTTATATGCCACGTATCATTATTTGAAACTAGCTATGTTAGGGATAAGTACCACATTAATTAATATATTTATAATTCAGTTACCATATTAAATATTTTGTTATAATTTAAGGATAATTTATGATATTAATTCTTAAAAAAAAGAAATCATTTGAAAATTAAAATTATGTCTCATTTTTAAAAAAATAAATAAACTAATTTAATAAAAAATAAAAACTTTGGTGAAAATCAATTCTAAATAGCTAAACTAAAACCATAGGTTAATGGAGGATATTTAATTTTATAAACAAATATTGTTCAACCTTAAACAAAAAATTATAGTCCAACATTTAAAATTAGGATAAAATCACAAATATTTTGTATTGAATTAATTAGAATTTTAGCAAGCTACAAAGTATTCAAATTGATTTTTAAAATGATTAAAAAATATGAAAATGAAATAAAATGTTTTTTTAGTTTCAAAAGAGCTCAATAATAAAAATATTATAATTAGATTAATGGAGATAAAAGAGATATGCATATAATTTTAAAATTAAAAATATTAAAAAAAATTTACAACAATTTTAAAATATTTTTCTTAATCTACTTTGGCTTTGATAAATTGCATAATTTTAAATATCAATATTTAAGTTTTTATTTAAATTCAATAAATTGCATATTTTAATCATTATATTATGTGTTAAGACAATTCATATAAATATTTATGTCAGCACACATTATTCCATAATATTTTAACTTACTATATTATATATATATAATATTCTTTTTTATATAATTATAGATGTATAGTATTATGTTTTTATTGTTTTTTTTATATGAAGAATGATTTTTTTTTTTACCAACCAGAAGAATGACTTTTTAATTGATAAAAAAAGAATGCCATTTTAATTTAGTGAATATTTTTAATTTTATTATCTGTCTAAAATG